AGCAATACTGTATCATCTTCCATATCAAGTTATTTTGAGAAATTATTATATTCTTTGACTTGACTAAATTTCTTACCTGTGAAACAAACAAGGCACTGTGTGTTGGGTCCTTCCTTTTGCATAGAAGTCAATATAGGTAAATCCATCTTGGAAGAAAATATTGTTCTACCAGTGAAAATAAGCTTATATTTTATTTCTTTACAAAACCCTTGTTGGCTTTCAGAAATATTTACTTTTTGAAATAATGTACTTTTAATGAATAGTAATGGACACAAGGATGATTTCTATCTACCTATGATACTTTAACAATAAATTTCAGGATGTCACTTAGTTTTTGAGCTTGGATAACAATGAATTCATTGTTCTAAGATTTTTTTTTTAATGCAAGCTGGAACCCTGCTGAGGCTTCTTAAGCATATAGCTAACAAAGGCGCTAAAGACAATTCCTGATGATGATGATGATGATTCACTGATTCGGTTATAGTTAACATATGAGGGGCCATTGAAGTGTTAAAGACATTAGAAATTTCTAAGTGTATTTACTGATGAGCTTCAGAATTCTCCAAACTGTTCTTTTAGCTTTTAGAAATTTTTTTCCTCCTGTTAAGAAAACTGACACTAATAAGTTTCTAATAATCTATAACCCATTCATCTTTTTAAAATCTTATTTGTGTGCTAGAACTTAGAGCAAAGATCCACAAGCAATGGCCTATGAGTCAAATCTGCTCAGTACTGTTTGGGGTGAATAAAGTTTTATTGGAAAACAGCCACATCTTTTGGTTGACATCTATCAATGTTTTGCACAATGGCAGAATGAGTACAACTTGGACTTGTGGCCTGCAAAGCCAAAAATCCTTACTCTAACCCCTGTGCTAAAGTATAATCTATGATTGTTTTTGTAATGTTTAAAGAATTGCAGTCTCATTTGCAAAGTGTCAATTATTACTGACAAGATTTGGTTTTTAGTTTAACATCTAAATTTTTTAAAATTTCTACTGGAAAGGTAAAATTGGATGTGATGAGAAAAAGATTTCTTCCTCAAATTTTCATTTTTCAGACAAAATAGAGATTTAAACAGTTCATCTGTAAGCATTGTAGATTAAAAAAAAACATACTGTGAAAGTTTTCAATATGTTGATTATCAGTTTATTTAAAAGAGTGGCTCAAAAGAAAGCATGTAAGATTTGAGAGTGTTGTTGCTGATAAAATTGCACTGTGTCTTTTAGAGAAACATTTTTTCCTGACCCTTGAATGTCTTTTATAACATGTGCCAAGAATTCATCATAGCAGCAGACAACACACCCAAAATATTGAGCTATGGTTTATAGTCTCCTCCTTCCTCGTCATTTTTTCCCTGAAAGCTGAGTTTATTTTCTTTTAACTGCCAACTCCATTTCTCTGGTTTCACATCTTGGAAGAAATGACACAATCCCTTGAACTGCTGCACCCAGCCTCCAGGAAGAAGTGAATTGAGATCAGGTCTTCTTTTGCATTTTCCTGCACAGCAAGTTCATTCTTCTGCCTGTTTGCAAAATGAACTATTTTGCAAGGCTTCTAACCTTGTCATAGGAGGAAGTTCCTTCCACCCAGCTTTAATAATGCAGCATCAACACCTCACACTATTGCTAATAGTCCCCCACAGCATTTTCATCAGTCATGCAAACTGTAAATAGCAGGGTAGAGAGGGAGGAGTTTGGAACATAAGTTTTCCTGAGTTGAGACTTGCCCACTGGCTCCCTCAAGTACACTTTCTTCCTTTGAATGTGTGTAGTCACAGAGAGAACTTAAGCGTCTGTGACATTCTAAGGAAAAACAAAGAATCGCATTAACAAATGTCTCTTTTTGTTACTGCCATTTCATAAATGTATTAGTAGGTGTGCAATTTCATTGGATATTTCTTTTTTTTTCAATTGTCTTTGTACCTATGATTGAAAACGGTAGTTGGTCTATGACTTTTGAGGAGGTAAGTTTTAATCTGTGTATGTCTGTATCTGTGTCTGTCTCTGAAAAAAAAAATGCAGTATCCTCCTCCCAAAAGTTACTAACCAAACTTTCCTGGCTGTCCAGTTCCTGTGCAGGGAGGTAGGGGAGGGTGACTGGTAAGGAGAGGTGTGATATATATTTTGTTCAAGCGATGTGAGAAGGTAGGTTTCAGACAGCATGGTAGGAGTTTTCAGGCTTATGTTACCAGTGCCTCTGTAATCTTTTTGAAAAAGTAAGGGAAATAGTCTTTCTGTTTTATTTACAGGCTCTGATCTTTTGGCACCTTTGTTTTCTGTAAAAATCTCTGCTGACTGAGGTTATACCAATGGGTATACCTTGCCAACCTTTCAAAATGAACCAAGCAAGGTGACTTCCTTCTCCTAGCCCATCACACCTAACTCTATTCTCTAGTGGGAAGGCAAACTTTTTCTTAAATTACTTCTGAAAATAGTGTTGGCTCCTTGGGAAAGACAGCTAGGTTGTAATCTCCATTATCCCTGGGTCTGTATGGACAAGTTCTGTGTAGAAAACCCCATCTCAGAACCTGCAGCACCCAAGAGCATGTACTGGAGGATGCCTCCCCACTCAGACTTATACTTTGGAGGACGATACTGCATTTTTGGCCCTGTAACTTGCTTTCCCTTGTCTGTGAGTTCAGGGTGGAGTCTGATACTTCCCACTGGGCTGCTTGCTTTGCAGACACCAAACTGAAGCTGCTAGCTAAAGCAAAAGCTGCTTGCCCCTGTCAGTCTGCTTTTTAAGGACTCTCAGACACTTAATTTCTCCCACCTGCACTCCAACCCCTGTAGTTGTCCATCAGTGAGGAAGGGTTCAGGTTGTGGCAGTCATTGTAAGGAGAGGTCATAGTGTATACACTCACAGCTTGCTTCTGTAATATACAGTCCATCAGGCTCTTGTCAATGATGAAACCACTACGTAGGTAGGCTTTTCAGTACTTGCTTCAGGTACTTTCCCACAAACATTATATGGCTTCACCTGGAGGTTAACTCAATTCTAAGCCTATAACTAACCTGAAAAACTGGTAGCTACTTCTTTCTTTTTTTTTTCAGTCATCAGCCCTGAACTCTGGGCCTGGGTGCTGTCCCTCAGCTCCTCAGCTCAAGGCTAGTGCTCTACCACTTGAGCCACAGCGCCACTTCCGGCTTTTTCTGCTTATGTGGTACTGAGGAATCGAACCCAGGGCCTCGAGCATGCAAGGCAAGCACTCTACCACTGAGCCACCTTCCCAGCCCCTAGTAGCTATTTCATTTGCGCCAAATTAACATAATGTAAATAATAGTTGAGGAAGCATTTTGTACCTTGGAGTTCTGGGAATACATTTTCAGAGAAACAAGACACTTAACTCTGGAACTGGTATTGAAGTAATCTTATCTTGGTCTCTTGAAGAGCTTTATCAAGAAATGAGAAAAATCTCTTCCCCACCCCTAGCAGTCTGCATTGTGAAATAATGTTGAAATTGTGCTGCATAATTCTGCTTTTTCCTGGCAAGAAGAAATTTTATTGAAAAAGTTTCTAGAAAAAGCTTCGCTCTAGAGCTTTTAAATTTCCTGCAAGTACATAAGTTATTTTAAAAAAATTCTCTAGATCCCACTAAAAATCCCATTTCTTTGGCAAAGAGGGAAAGGATAGACTGTTGCATTCCTATTTTCTAATGTATCATTTTTCATACTTGTCTATCAGAGTAGAACTTGTGTAGGTTGAAGAAAGTGAATCCAGTGAGTCCAAAGTTGCTCCCACAAATTTGTACATTCTTTTTCCGGATGGGCTGGAAACTTGATTCCTGACAGGACAGATTTTTTTTTTAATCCAAGTAAACAGTATGTTTATTTAAAAGTCTAAGGAAAGACGTGAAAGAGAGTGGCTAGATCTCCATCACTACAGGGATCCTAAAGAGAAGCCCACTAGAGTGCTTGCTGGGGGAACTGCTGAAGGACAGCCATTTTGTGACTTGGTCACAAGGGAGAGTCAGGATGATTTGTTTGACCAGGCCCTAACAGGAATAGGCATCTTTTGCTCATGTTAACATTTGATGCTTCCTACTGTACTTGAAATCTTAAATTGCCTTTTTTTTAAAAACAAAATTTAAAAAATCATGTCACAAATGTATTTCTGTGGAAAACATGTATGCATTAAAAAAGAACAATACTAAAGACAATCTACTATTCACAATATCTGTTTATATGTTATAAAAGGACTTACCAGTTTTTTTTTTTTCCTAGAAGATGTCATATTCCCTCTTATTTATTTTCTGTGATATTTTAGCAGTGTATTGGATTTTACTTCATATATATATATATATATATATATATATATATTTAATACTGAAATGATTTGGAGTGTGTGTGTGTGTGTGTGTGTGTGTGTGTGTGTGTGTGTGTGTGTGTGTGTGTGAAACCAGGGTTTGAACTCAGGAATTCCCAGTTGCTAAGTAGGCCACACCCCAGTGTTTCTACCATTTTTTTAGTAGATATCTTTCATTTACATTCCCATACTTTTCTGAACTATTTTTTTTCCAAAAGAAAAGGCAGAGTCAAAATATAAGTTCATCCTTGAAGTTCTATGTTGGCCTTTCCTGGTTGTGGATCCTTGGCCCCCAAGAAAGTCGCAGGCTTTGCCCTTCCCATCTGTTTTCTGTCCCTTTTTTTTTAAAAAAGCAAAGGCAAAAAGAGGTATTTGATTCTCCTTTCTTGGTAGTTCTATAGAAGATAAAATTAACTTTGCCCCACCTAGTAGGTGTGAAACATGTATTTGTCTTGTCTTTTATCGGCTCTGTCTGGTTTTGCCACCCTTGCAGAGTGTAGAAGTAGGAGTGTAAATCTAAAAGCTGGAAGGTCTTCTCATTGAAGTTTTTCCTTGTCAGCTCTTTTCAATCCTAGTAACTACTGGTAGTAGCAAAGAAAGCACTTTTGATACTTTCGTAGAGAAGATACTAAATTACTATTCTCAAAGTAGATATAAGCATACTAATTTCATCATGTCTAAAGAATATACCTTGCTCCATGTATTAATCACTTGGTTCTTTTTTTTTTTTTTGCCAGTACTGTTTGAATTCTGGACCTTGCTCTCTCCCTTAGCTTTTTTTCTTAAGGCCAGTACACTACAATTTAAGCCACTCCTCCATTTCTGGCTTCTTGCTGGTTAATTGGAGATAAGCATCTCTTGAGTAGCTAGGTTTGCAAGTCTAGCTACTGGTACTGGGCTCCTCTAATAACTTTGTTTCATATTGTTCCTGGGAGTTTCCTGGAGGGAGGGTGTAGTTTGGTAATTTATTTTCCCAGATTCTTTTAATCTGACACTTGAACAAAATGAAACAAACCTTTAGAAATTTATTATAGGAACTATTGTTTTAACCAACACAAAAAATAGATGTTCAGAAAAGTAAATACATTCTTATTCAAGCACTAAAAATTTACCAGCTAATAGCAGAGTGGTAAACCCATGTATTTTGATTCTGGATTTAACGTTCTTCAATATTCTTTATAATTTTGAATCCTGATATTGGCAAAACAGTCTGAAGAAATGTCTGCTGTCATCCCTGCTGTGTCTTAAGGTTTCTCTTGAAGTCAGAGGTGGAGCCACAAGGATTGAGAGTACATTTGGAAATTTGCTGTCTGTGGTACATTTTTTTCTAATGAAGTTCTGGGGGGGGGGGGGTCCTAGGCGTCAACTGTTAGCTTCACTGGATAGAGTGCCGCAATTGTCCTGCATCTGCACTGCTAGCCAAACTCACTGTTGTTTCCCAGACAGCAGCAACCTGCCTTCCTGTGCCACTCGCCTTCGCCTTGTTACACTTTGAAAGTTCACCTTGTTGTTGCTGCTTGATTTTCCTCACCAGTACTTTGTTCATTTCTGCTCCTGTATGCTGACACTAATGCTGCCCTCTGGCTGTTGCTTTATTCTGCAGAAGGAGAATCGAAGATTACAGGAGGCCAGCATGAGGCTGGAACAAGAGAATGATGACCTCGCTCACGAGCTGGTAACCAGCAAAATTGCTCTGCGGAATGACTTAGATCAGGTAAATTTGTCATCCTCTACACAGAAATGAGACTATGACAACTTCCTCAAGGGCAAGGACTGTGTTGTTCCCTGCATTCCCCACAGTTGCTGCCTGTTAGATAAATGGGTTGCCAGAGGATGGCTTGTGCCATTTGAAGAGGGTGGAAAATGCAAGCCTGTGACGTGCTTGGATCATTTACAAGCAGCATTTGTGACATACATTTTTCATATCTCTGAACTTCTCTGGTCCCCTTCTTTTTATCAGTACTTTTCTAGACCAAGAGCTACCAGCATGCTTACCTAAGAATATTAGTCACTACAAATAGCCACTCTGACATTTATAGAAACCTACTTTTTCATTCCAGTAAGGATTCTCATCTAAGCCAAGTGTGGTGGTCCAGGCTTATAATCCTAATTCTTTGGTAGCTGGAGACAGGCCATTGCTGGCAATTAGCAGAGACCCCATCTGAAAAACAAGCTAAAAGCAAAATGGCTGACGGTGTAGCTCAAGTGGTGCTAAGAAAACACAAGACCCTGAGTACACTCCCTTGTGCCACAGAAATAAATTAATAATCATTGTCATGTATAATAAATGTGAAGCCCTATATGAGACATGTTAAGAATTGAATTGTTGGATTGACAGGCACCTTAGGGACTAAGAAGCAGTCCTATTTGGTATATTGGCATAAAAAGTATCTATTGGTATAAAGTGTCTATCTCATAGGGATTAAGTAAGACTCATGGTAACTTCTCATTACAGTGCTATCAAGAGAAATAGGAGAGACTGGACAGCAGAGCTGGTTTAGATACTTTTTGCAGGGTGTTAGAAAGGAGGCAGTGATTTGGTTCTTGAGCAGCTGCTAGGTGGGACTCAGAGCCTGTATTCTGCCATATGATCTAGCTCTCACCAGATCCACCAACACAGATTAAGTGCAGTTCTGAGAACTATGAAGAGAATATGGATTTAGATGTCATTCACCTCTAAATTCAGATCATGTTTGTGATATTATATGTGTCAAATAAGTCAGCTTATTTGATCTCTCTAAATGTAAAATTATTATTGTTGTCATCAAGATTAGGAATAATGTATACCAAGTACCTAGCACATAGCTGGACAGAAGAAACAACCTCCTCCCCTCCCCACCCCCACTCCTCCCAGTGGTCTAGAAGGGAACAGAACTTGCGGTAATTGCAGAGATTCAGTTTAGAGAAAGCATACTCACATTTTCATCACCTTCTTTATGGCTATGTTATGTCTTGGCTTTCAGGCAGAAGACAAGGCAGATGTGCTGAATAAAGAGCTCCTCCTGACCAAGCAGAGACTGGTGGAGACTGAGGAGGAGAAGAGAAAGCAAGAGGAAGAGACTGCCCAGGTAGAAGGCACATGTGGGCTTTTCTGTTCATGTATATGTAGACCAGGAGTTGATTAATGCCATAAAACAGGTAACATCAGTTAATTTTAAATGAAGAGACATGCAAAAGCAGTAAATGTTATGTCTTGCCATTACCTTTGCAAGGTGTTAGAAGAGGACTGTGCCTGGAAAACTTCTTAGGGATTCACCTTTACCGAGATATCTAGCAAAAGTGATGAGTTTTCACTAAGTGTAGTAACTTGAAATTATAATCTAGGAGTTTTGACAAATCTTAAAATTTCCTCTAAGATAAATGACTTTTCTGAAGTAGTTTATGAGCCTTGCTAAACTAAAAACCTACATACAGTAAGCAGTCTCTGCCTGTGGGGGTTTACCACACAGTCCCTGCCTCAGGTAGTTAGGCTTAGGTTTCCGGATTCATGCATAGAAGAGGGGGAGGCAGCCTTCCTCTCAGAGCTTACAGACCTGCACCCAAGGGGCACACAAATCCTTTGGGGACCTGTGATGCCTTGTACTTTGGTGTGAATTGTGTAGCTAATCAGACTAAACAGACCCTGGCAAAGGAGCAGCCCAGGGAACTTCCTGCCTCAGGAGGTGGGGCTTGTAGCTTCCATGAGGAAAACCAGGCTGCTTCCCCATTGTTCTTCACGGGGCATCTCACTAGGGTGCTGAGGATTAGACTGTGGCTCAGAGTGTACTGTCAGGAACTTGTTTGAATTTTACTTATAAAATTAGGGGTCGGTAATACTACGTGTAAAATGGAATATAAGGCAATTTAAAGACCTTCATCCTAGCAACCAGAAAAAAAGTTCCAGTGAAGTCACACAATGAGACATGTGTTATTTAGCACTTGCCAGGATTCATAAAAGATGTTCTGTGATTTTTCCCCTCCATTAGCGTGTTAAAAATTTAAGTCTCTGGGCTGGGTGCCGATGGCTCATGACTGTCCTAGCCACTCAGGAGGCTGAGGTCTGAGGATTATGGTTTGAAGCCAACCCAGGCAAAAAAAAAAAAGAAGAAAAACTCCATGAGATTCTTATCTTCAATTAACCAGCAAAAAGTTGAAAGTGAAGCTGTGGCTCAAATGGTAGAGAGCGAGCCTCTCAGGGACAGAACCAAGGTCCTAACTTCAACTCCCAAGACTGGCACAACAGCAAAAAAGTCTCTGATGCTTAGTGTGGCTCAAGGCTTTGTTTTTTGTTTTATTTGACTCAAACGTAATGGTGGAGGGGGTAATTATTCAATTTGTAAATTCCCTGTGTCTCCTGATGGCTTTGGTTGTTGTTATGTCTTTACCTGTGGTTTCTTTTGAGGGGCCACATTAGAATTCCAGATGAAGACACAGCTATTGCCAAATAGATACCTGCCCTGTGGTTCTAGAGATAACTATGAGCTCTTGAGTGACTGATAGCTAATTTAGGAAGGGATATAGGGAAAGGTAGGAAGTCTGTCCAGAAAAATCAGTACGGAGTAGGCATTGTTTATGTTTTAAATTGAAGAACGCAAAGCACAGATGAATCAGTGGCCTTAAGTTGCTTTAAAAATTTTAAATGTAGCAGATGTTAAAAAATTTCAAAAATGTGATAGATTCCAATGATAAATGGCAATATATAAATTAGCCAGTATAGAATAACAGTAATTATGAATGTTGCCATGCAGAATGTAGCTCTTTGTTGTTGCTTAAAATTTTATCAGTTTTTTGTTTGTTTTTGTTGGTCATGGGAGTTGAACTCTGGGCCTGGGCGTTGTCCCTTAGCTCTTCAGCTCAAGATGAGAACTCTATCACTTGAGCCACAGCCACTTCTGGTTTTCTGGTGGTTTATTGGAGATGAGAGTCTCATGGACTTTCCTGCTCGGGCTGGCTTTGAACAGTGATTCTCAGATCTCAACCTCCTTAGTAGCTAAGATTATAGGCGTGAGCCACCAACACCCAGCTCCTGTTTTTTCTTTTCTTTTTTTAAACTTTATGGACATTTACTGGCATGGAAAAGATACATTGTTCTTCCTCAACACTTGTTTCTGCCCTCAGTATACTTTACTATATTTTCCATATTCTGAAGGTCACTTGTATTCTGTTTCCCCTAACCCCTTTTTCTACCCTTAAAGCCAGCTCCTCATAGCTTCTTTCTGATCAAGCTGCAGTAGGCATGTCTTCCATATCTGCCTCTGATGGTTGTTCTGCTTTCCTCCAGCTTTTTAAAAATATTAATATAAATTAATTGTACAATAAAGTTTAATTGTGAAATAAATATGAAGTACTTTTTATCAAATTTGCCCTATCTTTACTCTTTCTTAATATTTTTCCCCTTTATTCCCTCCTTTTGTTTAAAAACAATTTTTGGTGGGTTTTATTATGCTATTTTTATATAAGTAAAGTAATTCTACAATTATCACTCTCTTGTCACACTTTTATTTTCCCTCTCTCCCCACCCACTGGTCCTTATGCCCAAATAATCCTTTTTATACAATCATGTCAGTTTTTTGTGTTTGTTTTTTTTTCCGGTCATTGGGCTGGGAAGGTGGCTCAGTGGTAGAGCGCTTGCCTTGCATGGGGCTTGAACTCTGTGCCGGGGCGCTGTCCCTCAGCTCTTCAGCTCAAGGCTAGCGCTCTACCACTTGAGCCACAGCGCCACTTCTGGTTTTCTGGTGGTTTATTGGAGATAAGAGTCTCATGGCCTTTCCTGCCCAGGCTGATTTGAACCATGATCCTCAGATCTCAGCCTCCTGAGTAACTAGGATTACAGGTGTGAGCCACAGGTCCCGGGGGTCCCCCCCACCCCCTGCCTTTTTTTAGATCTAGATTCTACATATGAATAAAACCTTAACAGTTTATCTTATTACATTTGTCCTACCAAGTGAGTTTGGTTTATCTCACTTAACACAATAATCTCTAGTTTTTATCCATTTTCTAAAGAATGAAGTACCAGTTGGTTTTTGCTTATTTGATTATTTGCTTGGTCAGCAACCTAAAAGAATAAAATTCCTTACTTTATATCTCTTCATCTTTTTTGTACCTAGAATTCTACTGTGGTGGGGTTACAAAAATAGCTGACTTTAAGAATACACTCATGACTTCACATCTCACTGACTGTAACAAGTTCCTGTATGCTGTGTCACTTCAGCTCCTTCTAAACTCGCTTCCTGAATCTTCTGTTCTCAAGAGCTCTAAACTTCTCCCATCTTCTCCTGATTCCAAAGCCTCTTGTCCCTCCCTTCAGAGAGGTAACAGCTCTGGCAGTATAGAGAAGGCCTAAAATGGTTTTTCAATCACATCAAGAGAAAAAGTCCAGCATTCAGTATTGTTTTGCAATTTTTTTTGGGGGGGTCCGGTCATGGGGCCTGAACTCTGGGCCTGGGCGCTGTCCCTCAGCTCTTCAGCTCAAGGCTAGTGCTCTACCACTTGAGCCACAGCGCCACTTCCGGCTTTTTTCTTTTTGCTTATGTGGTGCTGAGGAATCGAACCCAGGGCCTCATGCATACAAAGCGCTCTCTCTACCACTGAGCCACCTTCCCAGCCCTGTTTTGCAATTTTGTAGACTCATAATAATGCTGGCTTATGAATGGACTAATGGAGCACTTGTTTATCAACTAGATAGTAAGCGCAACAGTTTTATAATAGGCTGCTTGTATTCCTTCTACTGTACAGAAAAGACACATACATTATTGGCTTTTCAAATTACAGTTATCATAGGTGGAAACTAAGTGAGACTTTTGTATATAGATGTTTGTGTAAATTTATGAAGATTTTTGCCTGAATCCTGTTTCTTTTTCTAGCTAAAAGAAGTCTTCAGGAAGCAGCTAGAGAAGGCAGAATATGAAATAAAGAAGACAACAGCTATTATTGCTGAGTATAAACAGGTAATGTGCTGTTGTGCATTTTGTTGCTATAAAAATTACTTTTTAGGGCTGGGAAGGTGGCTCAGTGGTAGAGAGCTTGCCTCGCATGCATGAGGTCCTGGGTTCGATTCCTCAGCACTACATAATCAGAAAAAGCTGAAAGTGGTGCTTGTGGCTCTAGTGGTAGGGCACTAGCCTTGAACTGAAGAGCTGCAGGACAGCGCCCAGAGATCCAGAGGCCCCACGGCTGACAAAAATATAAATAACAAAAAAAATTACTTTTTACTTCTTTTTTTTCTTTGTTTTTAAATTTTTAAGAGCAGTTTTTAGAGATACTAAACATAGTATGTCATTCTCTTCCTTTGAAATAAACAGTGGTTGGACTTGAAAGGTCAAATTTATCAAAATAATTTGTTGGTTATTTACAATGTTTGGTCGATTTCTAAAGTGGGAAACATTATTACCATTGACATCCTTTTGCTAGTGGCAGTATTTGCCTCTCCGAGAAATTGGCATGAACTGGCAGTAGTCAGTGGATCAGGTTCCCCTTGGCTCTCACAGTACCGAATGCAGATACTTTTTCCTATGCAGGCCAGTGCTAGCTAGAAGCTTTCTACTATGAACTTTAAAATGCACTTTAGACAGAGGGCTTTCTCTCCTTAAAGATGTTTCTAGCTCTGTCAGCAGGGTGGTCCTACGAAACACATGTTCCAGCTCCAGTTGTATCTTTCTGTCCCTCCTATTGGCTAGACATGGCCATGACCCTTCCTTGCTAAGAGAACCAGAGTAGGTTATTCATATTCCAGGCTTCCTGAATTGAAGTGTCTTATGACATGTTATCTAAGTGAGGATTTCCCTGAGATCACCAGCTGCACAAAGGACATCGAAATCTGATGTGTAACTTTTTAAGTGTTTTTTTCCTGCTTAGAAGTGGTATTTTTTTTTTTGCAGAAAACTAGAAAAAAAATTGTACAAGGAAAATAAGCCTTTTTTAATCTCACTAATTAGAAACACCCCTTAGAATGTTGGATATACATTGTTCTGATATAAATAAATGTTACATGAATATATTTATAATGCATATAAGCAGGATGAACTACATTATTCATACTATTTTTGGAAGTATATTTAGTTAACATAACATGCATATATTTTATGTATTTTATATAATGTATTTTATAAGGATTTTGTAAGGATCAGTAGTAAAGTACTTACTAATATGTACAAAGCCTGGGTTTGGTCCTCACAAATAACAAATAAAAGGATTTCTTGTACTCATGGAAGATATATTTTTTTAGAAACATAAGGTTTTAGAACCATCTTACTGTCTTTTATGGTAGTAACATGTTTACTTAATTCTTTTTGTTTGTGAGGCTTGATTCTTCAGGGGACTGAAAGATGAGTTGATCTCATCTCTCTTCTCTAGAAGCTTATCTTGTAATGCAGAGGGTAATACCTGTGCAACTGTAAGCGGAAATGGAACTTACTATGTATGAGAAATTGGAGCTGTGCCTCAGAGGCTAGGTGAGACCGGGTATATGGAGATGCATAGAAAAGGTGAAAAGAGGGAATTGCCACAATGAGCAAAAAATGTTTTTGTTTGACTAAAGATTCAAACACAGAGAGAAGCATAGGTACACTGGGGCCTGGAAATGTCAGGGCTGGGCTGAAGAGTTTGGATTTGTTTGTAATATGACGGTTTTTGTGTACATGTGCCTGTCCAGTGGCTTGACCTTAGGGCTGTGGCACTGTCCTTTTCCTTCAAGGTTAGTGCTCTACACTTGCGTGAGCAACAGCTTCACTTTCAGCTTTTTGATGATTAATTGGAAATAAGAGTCTCACCCACCTTACTTCTAGGCTAGCTTTAAATTGCAGCCCTCAGATCTCAGCCATTTGAGTAGCTAGGATTATCGAAGTAAGCCATAGGTACCAGGCCTGAAATAGGATTTTTAAATTAATTTTGTAGTACTGGGTTTTGAACACCATGGCTTTATGGCATGCTGGAACATTGTTGTCTATTTAAGCCACACCTCCAGCCCTTCTATTTTTATTTTGTTTTTGAGCTGGGGTCTCACTAACTTTGCCCAAGTTAGCCTTGAACTTATGATCCTTCCATTTGTATCTTCTAAGTAGCTGGGATTACGGATTATGCATTACACACCTGGCTCTAGTTAGCATTTTGAGCAGGAAAGTGGCTGCCTAGGAAAATGATGTTGGCACTACTCATACCATGAGGAATGCAGAACCAAGGGGAAAGATCTACAGACAAGTAAGAGGTTCATAGTAGAGTCAGTGTGCAATGAAACAGGGCCCAAACCAAAATAACTAGCAGTGAAAACAGAAGAGGAAAACAAGATTGTAAATTTTTTTCCAGACAAGATATGAAATGGAAAGTGATTGCTGACATTTTGAATTTGAGTAACCAGGAAAAGAGGTGTTTAGACATTAATGGGCACTAGGAGCCTGCCATCTGCAGATAAACTTCTTTGTCACACAGGCTTTCTGCTGCTTGTTGCAGAAATGACCAGTATTTATAGTGCTATTTGTTTACAAAATGTCTTCTAGGATCAGATGTGCTGGAGAGCTTCATGATATATAAGCAGTTATGTATACCTGCATACTCCAAGAATCATTCCATTTTCTAGTAAAGAAACTTTTTTTTTTTGCTTTAGATCTGTTCCCAGCTAAGTACTAGGCTAGAGAAACAGCAAGCAGCCAGCAAAGAGGAGCTGGAGGTTGTAAAGGTAAGGCGTGAACTTCTGTGAACTAATTTCTTCCAGATGTGGTCTCCTGAGTATTTTAAAAGGATTTCCTTGCTCATTTTGTTTTAAAGAAAAAATTATGAAGCGTAATATATTTCTCTTGTGCCTGGGTTGTGACCATCTTTCTGATGGGCACAGATATATATATATATGCATGTCAGTGGTGTGAGCTGTCAAAATCAAGTGCTGGGAAAGTAGGTTAGGAGTTAAACAGCATTGTCAGTGAGGCCTCTGAGCCTTATGGCATTTGGATGGGAACCTGACAGCTCACATCTCACGGTGTCTGAATTTATGTGGCTTCAGTGTGGGGCTCAGGAAGGTCATCCCATTACTTTCTTGAACAGTGAGCACCACAGGCAATACAGAACTTGGCTGGAAGCCAAGTCTTTAGTGGTTTGTTTTCAAAGAAAACCTGTGGCACTCATTATATGCTGCCCCCTGGTGGTAAAACTTATTCTGTTGCTCTTATTTGAAAAAAGTGATTGTTTTTTCTTCAGAAGTGAAAGTAACCCACAAGGACTGGTATTCTTAAGAAGCCAGACCCAAAGAAACATAGGTTGTATGGTTTCCCTCATTTGTGGAAACTAGAATGTGCCTTTAAATTTACAAGTAAACACAACGGGTAGTAAAAGACAAAATATACACTTGGACAGCATAAATTATACAAGTCTGAAGACATTCACACAGTGAAACCAAAGGAGGATATTCTTAGAAGAGGATCACAAAGTCTCAATAGCTATGTGCATCTGATCATATAAAATGATATTTATCAAAATGAACTCTAAGAAATGGGAACAAGAGGGGTTTCCCCCCCACACTTGCTGTTTTGATTTCTTTACCTTTTTGTGTTTGGGAGGATAAGAAGGGGTATAGATAGGGTGGGTCAAAAGATAAACAAATGCAGCAGTGATATTCTCTAGATACTAGGTTGAAAATGAATGATGTAACTTGTGGGTGGGGACAGGAGAGAAAAACTAGGAGAAATGGAGGGAAAGGGTAACACTGTTCAATAAGAAAGGTACTCAATACCTGACTTACATAACTGTTACTCCTATGTACATCACCTTTACAATAACAATAAAAAAGAAAAATTTTCAAAAAAGAAGCACTGTTGGCTCAGTCAATTCTTGAGACCTGACCCCCTTCCTCTGACCACACACAGGTTTGATATCATATGTCTGGGCAATTTTGCATATAATTTAATGACATTGAAAAGTTATTTAAACCTTGGACTCCAGTTAAATAGAGGTAACATTACGTGCTTCATAAGATAATTTTGAAAGTGAAAATAAGACTATGAATATAAAATGCTTAGTTTTGGACTTAGCATCCAGTAAGTACTTTTATTTAAAACCTGAAATTATGAACATCTTTCTGACACTAGAAAAAGAATTTTTTTCATTTCTTGTTAGAACATATCAATTTGACAAGGGAGAACTCAAATAGGATGGTTTCTTAGAAAAGTAAAGTCAAAGTTCAGCAAAATAAAACACCAGGAAGTGAGTACTTGAAAGGGGTGGGATGGGATCAAGGGGTGGATGAGTGAAGAGAGAAGACTGGGAAGTGGGAAAACGCAGTCAAGAATCCAGCCAGGCGCCAGTGAAGAGCTGAGGGAAGAGTTCAAGCCCCATGACCAAAAAAAAAAAGAATCCAATGTATATCCTATAAAATTAAGAAGAGCAAGGAGAGAGTCAAATAGAAGGATGGGGAAGAATGTTAAAGGGGTGACATTGATCAAGATGTATTTATATACATAAACTGCTTTGTTAAAGGGCAACTAACTCCTTTGTACAGCTACTTAAAGATTATAAAAATACTTAATAAAATAAGACAAAGGGGCTGGGAAGGTGGCTCAGTGGTAGAGCGCTTGCCTTGCCATCTTGAGGCCCTGGGTTTGATTCCTCAGCATACCACATAAGCAGAAAAAAAAAGCCAGAAGTGGTGCTGTGGCTCAAGTGGTAGTGCGCTAGTCTTGAGCTGAAGAGCTGAGGGACAGCGCCCAGGCCCAGAGTTCAGGCCCCACGACCGGACCCCCCCCAAAAAAATAACAAAAAACAAAATTTCTAAAACAGATTTCAAAGACAGGCTATAATGCTTTCCCCTCTCCTCCCCCACCCCTCCACCTCAATCCTGGGACTTGAACAGAGGGCCTGGGCTCTATCTCTGAGCCTCTTTGTGCTCAAGGTTAGCACTCCAGCACTTGAACCACAGCTCCATTTCTGGCTTTTTCTGAGTAGTTTATTGGAGGTAAGAGTCTCACAAGGACTTTTCTGCCCTGGCTGCCTTTGAACCACGATCCTCAGATCTCAGCCTCCTGAGTAGCTAGGATTACAGGCCTGAGCCACTGGCGCTCAGCTTCTAATACTCTTAAGACCTTTCTAGAAATTCTTAATGAAAAATGAATCCTTGTTTTGGATAATTGGAATATCTGTAAACTGTAACCAGTTTTGTCACAGCACCGGAAAACACCTTCAGAAATGAGACATTGTATGGCAGTAATCAGAGTTTTAAAACCCATGGTATCTGAAAGTGATTTCAACTATGAAACAGTTGGGTGTTGGTTATCTCTTTTGTCTATTTTAGGGTAAAATGATGGCATGCAAACACTGCAGTGACATCTTCAGCAAGGAGGGTGCTTTGAAGCCAGCAGCTGTAAGTGGCGAGGAGCAGGGGATGGAAGCAGATGATGAAAAGGACTCACTCAAGAAGCAGCTGCGGGAGATGGAGCTGGAACTGGCACAAACCAAACTGCAGTTGGTGGAAGCCAAGTGCAAGATCCAGGTTGGTGACTTGATAAAATTCCAAGAAGGAAAAATCAACAGCGAGTGCTCCAGCATGGCCTGGTACTTTCGAATTCCCTGACCTGGTGTGCATCCTGCGACGTTGCTGTGTGTGCTGGGTGCATGTTCTGTCTACTGCTGTGCCCTGCAGAGCCACACTTCCAGCACGTCTTTGTAAACATTGATAGAAACACATGACTTTACTTATTTTCTTTTCATGTTTTTCCTTTTTTAAAAATTATCTCTCGTTATCTTATGAGAACTTAAGAATGCTTTTTAGTTTACCCTGAGGTTTTGTTGGCGTTGTCGCTCAAGTCCTTTCTCCTGGAATTGGTCCCTTTGGTGGTGATCCTGGAAATAAGATGAAGATTTTCCCTGCTGCTCATCTTTTAGGGCTGTTCTTCCTTACTCTCCCTTCCTCCTTCCCCCGCTTCTCCCTACCCGCCCTCCCTCCTCCTCCTCCTCCTCTTTTTCCTTCCTTCCTTCCTTCCTTCCCTCCCTCCTCCCTCCTTCCCTCCCTTCTTTCCTTCCTTCCTCTCTCCCTTCCCTGCTCTTCCTTCTCCTCCTCCTTTTCTCTTCCTCCCTCCTTCCTCCCTCCTTCCCTTCATCCCTCCCTCTCTCCCTCCCTCCTTCCCTCCCTCCCTCCCTTCCCTGCTCTTCCTCCTCTTCTCCTTCTCTTCCTCCTCCTTCTCTCCTCCTCCCTCCTCCTTCCCTTCCTCCTTTCTTCTTCCTTCCTTCCCTCCTCCCTTCCTTCCTTCCTCCCTCCCTCCCTCCTCCCTCCCTTCCCTCCTGTTCCTTCTCTTCCTCCTCCTCCTCCTCTTCTTCTCTCCATATTACAGAACAATCCAATGAGAAAAATAATCCTTGCTCCTGATGGACCATTATTCTCCATTTTCTTTCTTTCTTTTTTTTTTTTTGGGTCCGGTTGTGGGGCCTGAACTCTGGGCCTGGATGCTGTCCCTCAGCTCTTCAGCTCAAGGCTAGCGCTCTACCACTTGAGCCACAGCACCACTTCCGGCTTTTTTCTTTTTGCTTATGTGGTGCTGAAGAATCGAACCCAGGGCCTTGTGCATGCAAGGCAAGCGCTCTACCACTGAGCCACCTTCCCAGCCCCATTCTCCATTTTCTTTTACCTGAGCTCCTGCTGTGTTCTGTCCTGGCATCCACCTGACTGCACTAGGAACACCAGCTATCTGCCGGCACTGGGCCTGAACATTCTTGGGGACACAGCCCATGCCTTTGGGACTGAAGCTCATTCATGCTTTTACTAACAGTGAAAATTTATCTTACCCATAGGCCTATAGTTATTGATGTTTTTAAACATAAACCTAAACTGTTTGGGACCTCAGTGGCAGGGAACAGAGAAAGAGTAAAATGAGATTTCATTTCAATACTTAGAGAAAGCACAGCTTCTAATCTCATCTCTTTCAATTCTAAACTTTTTTCTTCTATTTTTTTCTCTATTGGAGGAAGGAAAACCTACTTCACGGAGAGAAGGATTCCAGAGGCTGAGCGCTTTATTTCTATTGGCATTTATATAACAAATTATTTTCTTTTTTTAATTAGGAACTTGAACATCAGAGAGGAGCCCTTATGAATGAAATTCAAGCTGCAAAAAACTCTTGGTTTAGCAAAACCCTGAACTCTATCAAAACAGCCACAGGCACCCAGCCCCTGCAGCCAGCGCCGCAGGCTGCCACCCCGCCACCCAAGGAGAGCTCATAGCTCCAGCCCCAGCCAGCACAGAGCACAGCCATCACACAGCGGAAACCCAGGGAAATCCTTCCTGGTGTCCTTTTGAAGGAACGTAAAGAAGGCCAGAAAGCAAGCCAGAATCTTTCAGTAGCTCTCTTTCATATATGACACTTTTCAAAGGGGTTATTTAAGTTGATCTGATTTACGTTGAATACTTACTTTACAGCTTCTTTGTGGAAGGCCATGTTCAGATTCATCATAGTATTACACATTATTTTATATGCCTGATGTTCAGTCAGAAATAAGTAATTCAGCGCTAAATACTTTCTATTTAGACATCATTACTAATAACAAGTTTATCTTACATAAAAACGGAGGCATCTATTAATAATTGCAAAGTTGAAGTGACAGGAAGACCTCTGTCACAGGAAAAAGAAAAAGAAAGGCAAGCCTGAGCCTGTACCGTTTCAGGATGCATCTATTCTTATAAAGCACATTATGGAGCTGGCCATGATCACTGTCAAGATTCATCTTGAAGATGGTCCCCAGGATAGTGATTCTCCTGTCCCAAGGAAAAGTCAGACCCAGGCACTGGAAAGTTCCCAAAGATAATTGGTTCATTTTAATTTTATGTTGAGTTCATCTGGAAATGAAGTGCCAAGAACTGTGAATAGCGGGGCTGGTGAGGGTCTGGAAGCAAGATTTTGATGAACGTAAGACAAAACCGTGTTGGCTCTGGTGTTGTAGTTCCATTCAGAAACCTTACATGGGACTTGTAAGCTCCTAGTAGGCCTAGGTGAGAACACAGATGTAACTTCTGGCAAATATAAAGGCTATGGGGGACGTTGTGAGTTACATACTTAGGGAACCTTGCCCAGACATGTCTAGAATGGGTCAGATTCAGTTGTTATGCTCAGGCTGGAAGACAGAAACAGTGACCAATTATTGGATGTGGACAGACTTGCTAAGAAGACATGAATGCTCTGTAACTTCATTTAAGAACATAGTATGGGAATGGAAACTGAGGTCAGTTTTACATCATCATAGCCAACATTAGAAAACATTTCCTGATTTCTGTACCTCCCTAAAAAAATGTACCCTGGGTACCTGTAGAAGAAGATACAGAAAATAGATTTGTAACATTTTTGACTAAATGTAGAACCTCTATAGAAATACTTATGAAAAAATAAGGCTGCTGTTCAAAATTTGTTGGAAATATTTTTAAATTATATTTGACATGCCTATATAATAATTTCTCCATTTTCTAAGCTGTTTTGGAGAGCTCTATTCCATTCACACCAACCGAATTGTGTACAGTAACACTTATGGATATTCATTCTTAGCTTCATTGTTTGCAAAACCATATTGTTTGCAAAGGATCTGAAACTGAGTGCTAGAGAGCTTCTCCTTTGTGCCATAAGTCACATGATATGTAACCTTCTTAGACAGAGTCAAGTAAGAGTTTTCTCCGATCCAGGAGTATGTACTACAAGTTGCTTATGATAGATCCTACAATGATCTTTATGTTCTCAGAGTGAAATCCTGTTCATCTGTGTTATTTCATCTCCAGTCCATAAGACTGATAAAGTTATTTGATCTATGTTATTTGTCCAATAATACTTTCCCTGTAGATTTTGTTGTTCAGATACCTCTCATCATGAGATTCATTTCCTTTTACTGAAAGGGAAAATAACCTAGCATTCCAAGTGTCGTTGTTGACTTTAACATTCCCTACATAGTGGTTTAGATAAGCTAATATTTTTTGTAAAATATTATAGCTAGAAAATTACACCTTGTTTCTGTAAGTTGTATAGTATAGTCTGTTAGCTTTCCTAGTTCTTTATGCTTTGATTCCAAGAAGCCCTGTGCAAGTTACCTTTTCAGATGGCAAGCTAAACTAAAGATGCATTCCTGTGTTATGAACTTTAGAGAATCATACAAGATCTTTTTAACTTCTGAAAATAAATGTATTCCACACAATGCCTAAGTAGCTTGTTTTCCCTAAATGCAAGTGAGATCAGTAGAATGGCTATAGGCTGAGTCCTTGTCTGTGGACAGTGTCATACCCTACCCCTTCCCCTTCATATAAAATCACCAGGTGCATACATTCCACAAGTCTGAAAAACCTATGTTCTTGAGTTTTAACTCTTAAAAAGATAAAAGGGGTATATGTACCATCCTGTGTCTAAACTGCCCATTATTGCATTACCTTGGGTTGGCAGCAGTAATGAAGACTGAAGAAAAATTTTAATTTGGTTTATGACATATAATAGGCTTCTTTATATAATACATTATACTAGCACTTGTCCAAACCACATGTCCTTCATTGTCTAGTGTCTGAAAATTCCTGCTTATACTTATTTTAATTTCATATATATATATATATATATATATATCTTTCCCCCTCCCTTGAGAACAGGATTTCACTAGGTAGAGCCCAGGCTGGCCTCAAACTAATAGTCCTCCCACCTCAGCTTCTCAAATACTAAAACTACAGGTATGCATCACCACAGCCGGCTGAAAACCTCTTCTCTTGAAAACCTGTCAGATATCAACCAGCCAAATATCTAGGAAATTTTTGAACATGCTAATATTTTTTATCATTTCTTCAGATGTACACTGTATAAAACATTCCTCTAAAACTTACAATATCTGAAAAGTGATCATTTCTGCTTTCATAAATTCTGTAGAATTAAGTGAATAAAACTCAGCCTAGTTCATTAGCTTTTACTTATTGAAAAGCTTACTTAACACATTCTTTAAAGCTGACAGGAACTAAGCTGATTTCACAGTGCGTATGTTTGCTGGTGGCCTCATCCCTGGGGGATATCACTGTTTATATATAATTTAATGCAAAGATATTCTCAGTTACCTAATGTTCTGTATGACATTCCTAGGAATGTCAAAGAGGCCTGTAACCTTTCTTTTCATACAAAAAAATATCTCCCCCCCTCTCAGCTATTAAATTAGTACTTTTTTTCCTCACTCATTTTCTTAAATTTACCTGACAAAGTAGAAAAGAAACCATTGTACTGATTTTGGGATATTTAATAATATTTATTATATTTCAATTTCTAAAACTGTCCAATCTTTCCTACTATGTATTAATATTTATTTATTTTTAACTCCTACCCCCACTTTCTCCAAATATTTTTTCAGTTATTAACCAGTTGGCTTCATTTCCTATCTGAAGAAAATGAGGACAATATAGAAGAGAAGGCACAGAAGATAAAGTTAGACCCTTAAAGGTATCTATCAGTCACCTAGGAAAGAACCACATGGTCAGCTGATTTAAGGCATTGAGCTTTCCTTTCCTTTAGCTGAAATCAAGCCTGCTAACTAGCTTACCAACCTTGTGCATCAACACACTAATATGGTTGTCTGATTTTTAGGAGTTAAGAGAGGACATTTAAAATATGTTTTTTTAACGTTTGGGAAAGAACACTTTTAATTACATGGAAAGATGGTTTTATTTATTGACATTACCCTTAAACACTCTAAAATAATCCTGTTGTTCAACTACAAATACATGAGAGAACAAATGAATTCCATTGTATGATTTAAAGTTGTATGTGAGTGTGTGTGTGTGTGTGAGAGAGAGAGAGAAAGGTGGAATTTTATATAGAATATAGGGAGTTTTTTGTATACATAGATACCATGCACTGAAATTTTTTTTTTTGCTTTTTTTTTATTGTAAAGATACTATACAGAGGGTTACAGTTACATGAGTGAGGTAATGAGTACACTTCCTCTTGAACATTGTTAGCCCCTCCATTGTTTTCCCCCTACCATCCCCTCCCTCCCTCCCTTCCCC